ATAATATATAGTGTAGTACAGTAATGAAAGGGGGGAGGGGGGAGAAGTGAGAGAACTCACAAGATGTAGAAAATAGCAGGCTTATCTCCCATCAAAGGGGTAAGGTTCCTTCAGCATGTACTGCAGTATATGGCTGTAGATGATGAAAAAATGAGCCATTAGCGTAATAACATTAAAAACAACTTTATAAGGAAAAAATGCACTTACAAAATGGAAATTGCTTCAGGCATATCTCCACCTGGAGTGGATCTGGAGTCAACAGATGAAGAATAAGCAGGAACAAAAGTTAGTGAGCAAATATAATAAAATAACAAATATGGAATAAATAGTGCCAAATAATCAACATCCAACACGTTTCATCCGCGATTCGCACTTCCTCAGGGTCTGGGACATCATAGTCGTTTCTTCGTATTTACATGGCTCCTAATTTAAACCTCTGATCAGCTGGCGGTTAAATGCGTTCCAACTTGGAACGTGCTGTTCATTTCTTGATGAAATCACTTTCGGTATTCGGCTATGCAATTGAACGAACAAAATGTACACATGCGTCTTCATATGTAAAGTCACACATGCGTATTAGTAACTATAACACTAGAATAGAAACACCTTTGTGTCAAATAAACAAAACCGGACAATAGTAACAGACCATAATTCTATATACATACAATGGGGCTAAAAATTTATAAATACAGCAGAAACATAAAAATAATGTATATATTTTAAAAAATATATGAAGATCAGGATATATATATATATGTATATATATATATATATATTTGTGCTCGGAATTTAATATGTAATGGATAGTGACTGGGATGAAAGTTGGTTGTGGTGTGGCGAAACCCACGTCCGAGTGGGCCTGTAAATAAAAGAGGGCCCACCAAGGAGAATTGTATGTTCTTAAGGGTGCTGGTGGGTGGGGAACACTTGAACTCGAGCGTCAGAGGTGAGTAGGGGCTGGGAGCTTAAGTAGGGGACTTACTCCTCCCACAATTTCAGGCCTAATGGACTTTCTACTTGTGCTCAGAATTTAATATGTAATGTGACTGGGATGAAAGTTGGTTGTGGTGTGCCGAAACCAACGTCCGAGTGGGCCTGTAAATAAAAGAGGGCAAAAGAGAAGTTCGAAAAAACACACTTTATTGCATTTGTTACATAACTAAATTCCTGAAGGCTTGACGGAGCTCTCTTTCTGGCCGTGGAATGTACGTATTGTATATGGAGTATTTCCAATGACCCAGTCTCTTAATGATGTGGACCGGGGTGTTTGTACTAGAAGCTGATGAAGCGGGAAGAAATGCTCGGAGAACGAAGCTGGGTTGTAACCCAGTTTTCCCAATAAGATTTTAACATGCGTGGTGAATTTTGCTGTAGTGAGTGGGGGCCCTTGTAGTTGTAAGAGCGGTGAGTCTGGTAAGTGCGTGTTATGAGTTGACCTTAGGTGGCCTTAACTGGGCACCAAGCATTATCTGTTGTAAAGAGAGGAATAATAGTGGGGTGTAGTGAATGATTAGTTTTGGTAGATATGATCGTGAGAATATAGTAATCGTCTACTTTTGTGAGTTGTGAGGTTTTAAGGCTGTGTGTGATATCTCCTTAACTGGGCACCAAGCATTATCTGTTGTAAAGAGAGGAATAATAGTGGGGTGTAGTGAATGATTAGTTTTGGTAGATATGATCGTGAGAATATAGTAATCGTCTACTTTTGTGAGTTGTGAGGTTTTAAGGCTGTGTGTGATATCTCCTTGACAAACAACGGTAAATTCCCTAGGTCTTAGGAACCCATAAAAAGCTAAATAGATAGCAGATTTGATCAACCAGGTTTGTGTTGGGATCAAATGGGGATTCGTCAAGGAGATTGCTAAGTAATCTAAAGATAGGCCCATCTATCGGAAGTCTGGTGGTGATAAGTGGAACCGACACTTTAGAGATACCCTTTAAGATTTTCTTGATGGGGTATAAAGACCAAATGGGGGTGGTGTTAGGGAAATTTGTGAGGCTGTGATGCCGCACCCCCGTGAGGTATAATTTAATTGTATTGTGGGAAAGTTTTAAGTGTAAGTGGCAAAAGGAGGCAAAAGCCACCCTAGTTTGGGTAGAAAAATTGCCTTGTAATCCGAATTCAGCTGTGAATTTATTGAAAACGGTAAGTGCCCTACTGTAGGTGATAGTTGTGTTAGATGATAGTGCTTGGTGCGTAAGAGTCCTAGCGTGGTGCATAAGTGTGCTCAATCCAGGATTAACTCGTGAAACCTCGGTGTTCTGGATGGTTGATGGTGAGCTGATGGGAGTGCCTGGAAGAATACCTGGAATTGAGATCGAGACAGAGCATCAGCGGCCATGTTGTGGATACCCGCGATGTGAAAGCAAATTAAGTGGAACTGGGCGGTTGCTGCAAGCCAGGTCAGCTTGTGAATCAGCCGCATAATGGTAAGGGAGGAAGAGCACCCCTTGTTAATGATATCGCAAGCTGACGAGTTGTCAGAATAGCATTTTACTGCCTTGCCGGACCAGAGATGACCCCAGGTGTGTGCGGCCGCCACGATGGGGTAGATTTCAAAAAGTGCTGAAGTCTCTCTAAAACCCGGCAAGGCATTCGTCTCAGTGGGCCAGTGACCCCTAAACCAGTGATTACCGAATATAGCTGCGAAACCCGTGTTGGCTGCAGCATCAGTGTAAATGCAGGGTGAGGAGTCGGAGAGAGGGGAAATAAACATGGAGATACCATTCCACTCAGTCAAAAACTTCCCCCACATGAGTAGGTCAGCTTTGGCATGCTGGTCCAACACAATAGGGCAGGCGTCCGGTACCCCGTGAAGCAGACAAAGAAGCCTGGATACAAAAGACATTCCCTGCGGAATGATGCGCATTGAAAAATTCAGGGACCCCAATAAGGACTGAAGTTCGTTCCTGGTGCATACATCATTCCGCAGGAAAATGTCTATCTCTCCTCTCAAGCGGACCAGTTTTTCGGGGGGAAGGTTGGCACGGAAGGTACCAGAGTCCAGCTCTATCCCCAAGAAAGTAAGTTTAGTAGTGGGGCCAATCGTTTTAGAGGGAGACAAAGGTACCGCGAGAGTGGAAAAAAGTGCTGAGGTGCTGAGGATATCGGTGGGTGTGCATGCGCTTGGTTCTATTATGAGGAAGTCATCCAAATAATGAATGACAGCGTGAAACCTTAGAATGTTCAGAAGCAGCCAGCATAGAGTTTCTGCGAAAATATTAAACAGTTTAGTGAAAAAGAAAAGGTGGTAGACCGCGCCAAAAGAATAAGTAATCAGATAATCATAAATGTACATACATGTAGTTCTTGAATTTTACAGCATATGGGAACCTCAAAAAAGAACAATAAACAATAATAGTGCAATATGCAAAAGTACTTTAGTAATGTATAAATAGGATACACTGTGGGTAAAGAGCAAACTCACACTTTACCGAGCTGCTAGGAGCTCTGCCGTATAACGCCTGGACGGTACAATCCCCATCTTAGGATATGTAGTTCTTGAATGTTACAGCATATGGAAACCTCAAAGAAAACAATAAACAATAATAGTGCAGTATGAAAAGGTATTGTAATAATGTATAAATAAGATACACTGTGAGTAAAGAGCAAACTCACACTTTACCGAGCTGCTAGGAGCTCTGCCGTATAACGCCTGGACGGTACAATCCCCGTCTTAGGATCTGAATATACCAGGAGGTCCAAATTCAACGGTCATATATATATGAAAAAAAACAAAATATACAGACCAATGGTACAATATCATAAACTGGAAATAATATAGAAAAAAGTAGGTATCCTACTTACAGTATCCAGAGCAATGACTTGCTCTGGTGATGACAGCTTATGGTGGTATAATCCCCACCACAGGATATAACAGGAAAGCAGCAGCACCAGAAGATATGCAAAAGCCAAGGAATTTGAAAAAAGGCAATGAAATTTATTATTAAAAAAATATATTTTAAAATATATATGGGTAAAAGTATATAAAAAACATATATAGTAACTTCAAATCCTATCCTTGACGCGTTTCGCCCGGGTTTGGGCTTTTTTCAAATTCCTTGGCTTTTGCATATATCCTTCCTTTCTTATTAAACAGTTTAGGGCTGCTTCTGGACCCGAAAGTGAGTCGCGTGGAAAAATAGTACCTGTTTCGTCATTTAACCCCGTGCAAGTGCCAAAGTGATGGGTGCATGGGCAGTAATTTAAATGCATTGGTTATGTCTGTTTTGCTAAGCCAAGCGTTGCTACCAGTTGAAATGATGGTTTGTATAGCGTCGTCAATTTTTACGTACTGTAGTGAGAATTTGTCTGCAGGAATAAGTATGTTAATGCTGGGAACAAAAGAAGTGTGCGGTGCCGATAAATCGATAATCATGCGCTTTTTATTTGAGTATTTGTGCACAGCTATTCCAATGGGTTTAGTGCGCCAGGAGGAAACCGGTGAGGAGGTGAAGGGGCCGATCATGAAACCTTGTGCTATTTCTGTGGAAAGGAGAGCGTCTGTGGCCTCTGGGTCTAGGCAGGCTGATAGGAGATTGGGGCATTCAAGCGTGCCTGAGGGGATGGCTACGAGACCCATGAGAAAGCCCTGGGTGAACCCTGTTAACAAATATTCCACTAGAGGCCTACTTGGATGAGTTTTCAAGTAAAAAAACAGGTTGTCGATATTAATGTTGGTTAGTCACTTGCTAGGGGACAACCTGGCCGGGCACATGGTCTTAGTGTGTGCCCTGAAGCAGAAGGGCACAAATCAGCCAAGTGAGTTGAAGAATTACATATGGCACAAGACGAGGGCCTCAGACCAGCGAAGTGGCGACAGAATAATTCTGTATCCATCAGACACCAGTTAATTCTTATGTTAAATTGTTTCAGATGTGTCACCGCTTTCGCTGATATCGATTTATGATAATCATAAAAAGATGAGCCCCCGTACTTGACGCCCAAATCCACCACTTTTTGGAGATAGAGGTCCAGTTCCTCTCTCCTGTGGGGATATACCGAGCAGATGACATCACGGTATATCCCAAAAGATAAAACGAAATTGGGAATAGATAATTTTTTATTGAGCCTAGGGTCTCTGGTTTTAAGAACCACCGAAATATCCCCAAAGTTATAAGCCCTGTTCTCCAGTACGTCTTGGGAGGCTATAAGCAATGACACCAGACACACGTCCTTCCCATCCAGGATTTCTTTCCTAATGGAGTCTGGGACGGAGTGAGCTAGTGACACAAAAGGAGGCGTATCTGAAGCAGGAGCTGAAGGAGGAAGTATAGGAGCGGGAGCTGGTGCCGTAGGTACTGCCGGGGTGAGGGCTGAGAGGTCAGGAAGGTTACCTGGGGAGGCTATGGCACTCTCGACCTTGCTTAACCTGCTGTTCAAGGTCTGCAGGTTGGCCAGGATTGCCGCAAGGGTGTCCTGGGTGGCTATGCCAGCGCCAGATGGTTGACCTTGAGAGCTAGTGCCTGGCCTAGGCTCAGGGGCCTAGTATGTCAAAAGTCTGTAGAGTTCTGCCTTACGTGCCATAGCCGGAAAGGGGCCAAGTTCTGCCTTACGTGCCTAAGTTCGGCCATAATTTTTGGAATAGTCCACGCTCTCAAGGGCGTAGGAGTAGAGGGGGTGAGAGATTCACCTGGAGACTCAGGTCTGATAGGAGTAAACGGAATCTCATTGGTAGGCAACTCGTCAATGGGAGCCGGATCTTGAGACATTCTAGAAATGAATTAATGAATTGGATTTAGTAGGGGCATATGAGAAAATGAAATGGGGGGGAGGTTCCTAAGGTGAACTGGACTGTAAGGCTATTGCCGAAGTGAAAAACTTAACTGTGACTAGTGACAGATGAGGCCCTACTAGTGCCAAGTGGCGGTGAGAGGCTCTATCTATGATTTGGCCAAGGTAAGTAGTTGCCACAGATGTGGTGGCGGGATGTTGGCCTCTCAATGACATTTAAGAGGTTCAAAACGTGTGGCCGTGGAAAGTGAGGCCCTGACTACTGCCCTGTAGAAGGACGAGTGAGGTGTTTACCTATGATTTGGACGTGGGGCCGTACCTCCGTGTTGAGGTGGGAAATGGCTTTGTGGACCATGAAAAACCTTGTTAAGCTATGTCCGGAGCCAAGACCCGGTAAGCCAGTTCACGCACCTTCTATGGGATACTTAGAAAATTCAATAATTGGTGGATACTAACCTTGATAGTGGTTATAACCTGGAGCTTGAACCTTTGAGTATTTAAGTAGAGAGGCGCGGTAGTTGGCGATACCGTAGAAGAACCTAGGGGTTTGAGACAGATGTTGATCTGTGTGAGCGTGACGTATGATCGAAATGTGAGCGTGACGTATGATCGAGCTCCTAACCGAGTGACAAGTTTAGAGTGAAGGCTGCCTGAGGCCTTGAAAAATACATGAACTGAAGTAAATAAAAACAGTACCTGGTTTGTAAGACAAGAACCAGGACTTTCAATTTAGCTGTAATATACGACAAATGGGCGATCTGTGGAGACCAAAGAAATTTAACAGAGCGAAGATTAATATCTGTACATCAAGAAATTATATAATATTGTGTAATTATTATCTCTAATAGCTGAGACAGATGATGTGTGTGAACATGACGTATGAGCGCAAACGTGAGCTCTTGACAGAGTGACAAGTTAGAGTGAAGGCTGCCTGTGGCCTTGAAAATATAGAAACTGAAGGAAATAAATACAATACTAGGACTTGGTAATTTGGCTGTAATATACGACAAAAAAGGACGATCTGGTTTGTAAGACAAGAACCAGGGTTTGGCAATTTAGCTGTAATATACAACAAGATAAATGATCTGTTAATATCTGCACAAAAGCAATGGTACAATATTGTCAAAAAGTTACTCTTGTTTAACAGCTAATTTCTTTAGATTGGGCAAGCTACATAAACCTTTATTAAACATGAAGAAAGGAATCAACCAATAATGTAAACCACAAGGTGGTGATAACAGCCCACTGACTGGCATATGAAAACTGACACAAGCTGCAACGGAAAGCATGTGTGAAAGTTTTCACAGATGGAAGTATTTTGCCGTAATATATATTAGAAATGTGTAGAAACTGGGAATACAGCCTCTACACATACTGTTTAAAAGCATAGCATGGATTCTGAGAGCCAACAGACACTGTCCTAATGCAGTTACACATAAACAATCGGTTACCTAGGCAACAAGTGTAACGTTAACCGAAGCCGGTGAGTAGAATAAGAGACAGGGTATTTACATTCCGCGAATCCTACTAGTTCGTGGAGGGGGGGATACCAACGAATGGTTGTACCAACCGATCCCCGAGGTGCCTGAGCGTGGAAACCGTGGGTGGTCTCATGTATCGTGATCCCATGTACGTTCCGGACCCCTGTTAAGACCCCTGAGCGGCGTGGAGGAGACCAGAATGAGGGGTAAGTGTGACTCACGGTTTGGCTGTTTAGGAAGCCAGATCGTGGCACCGGACGGAGGATTCTGACGGAGACTGCAGCTGGATAGGACGCCCGGACCGGAAGTCAGCAAACCGGAAGTCAGTGGAACCGGAAGTTGAGCAGAACACTTGAACTCGAGCGTCAGAGGTGAGTAGGGGCTGGGAGCTTAAGTAGGGGACTTACTCCTCCCACAAATTCAGGCCTAATGGCCTTTCTACATATGAAAAAGCTATATAAATTAAAAAAATTTAAATTAAAATAAAAATGAAAAAATATAAATAATAGTAAATCTAAAAATAAAAATATATATAGGAGAAAATATTAAATAAATATAAAAATAAACTAGGGGTTAATTTACTTTTTAGATTGTCTGCTTACTTATAGTTCATAATTGGACAGTCAGGAACGATCTTTTTGCATAAACATTGTACTTAGTAACAAAGGCATATTCAAATTTATTCTGTTTAGCTGTTGGTTTTATATTTCTTTTTCCGCAAGGAGTTCAGATCTATTGGAATTTTTAACTGTTGTCTCATCTGTTTCTATTCTTTTACGGTCAGAACCCTTATTAGTATATCTGCTTTTGATCATCTTTGATTGTTCTTCAAATACTTTAAGATCGGAAAAATTCCTTATTCTTATCATCTGCCCATAAGGGACATTTTACAGCCATAAGGGATGATGTAAGCTTTTGCTGTCAGTAACTGTATTTCAATCCGTGGGTTTAAAAATGTTTTTGTATGTAATTGACACTCTTTTACATAAACAGTTAGGTCCAGAAAATAAATTTGTGATTTGTGTACCGAAGAGGTAAAATTAAGGTTATAGTCATTATGGTTAATGTAATCAATGGAAGAAGATAAACTATTAGAGGAACCTTCCCACACAATAAGGACGTCATCTATATAGTGTCGCCATAGGACAAAACTGCCTCCGAGACAAGGGCCTAATGAGATATTCAATGACTCCCAATAGGAGACATATAAATTAGAAAAACTCGGGGCAAATCTCGTCCCCATGGCGACGCCACATAGCTGCAAAAAGAAAGCAGAATCAAACCAAAAATAATTCCTAGTAAGAACAAACTCAATACACTTGACCAAAAATTCGACCTGGAAATCACATAAAACACACATAAAATCACATAAAACACATAAAATTTCCTTGATAGCAATCAGACCTTTAGAATGAGGGATACTAGGATACAGAGATGCAACATCCACTGTAGCTAACTGGTAAGAGGATGTCCATTTCATCTCTTGTGTGATCTGTAAAATATGTTTAGTGTCTTTAATATGTGATGGGTTAAAGCAAAAAGGGGCTGGAGAAAAGAATTGATGTACGCTGAGAGGTTACACGATAGGTATTCAATCCCACTAATAATTGGGCGTCCTGGGGGACTCAGCAGATTTTTGCGGATCTTAGGTAAAAAAGTAAAATATAGCAGTTTTGAAGAAAGGGTTAAAATTAAATTCTGTTGTGGATAGGATGTTTTGGTCCAAACCTATTTGAAGTAGATTTCTCAATTCCTTCAAAAAGGTTTTTGTAGGATCTTCTTTAAGGATCTGATAAGTGTTGAAATCCTCCAGAATATTGCGGGCTTCCCTCATGTAATATTCTTTCTTCATGATTACTGTACTTCCTCCCTTGTCGGCCTCCTTTATTACAAGGTTATGATTTTCCATTTGTTGTTTTATTGCCCTCTGTTCCCCTTTTGTTATATTAGACTTTGAAAAAGAAATAGGGATTTTTTCAAGTTCGGCTAGTACAAGTTCATTGAAAACTTCTAGGAAGTTTTCCTTTTCATGATGGGGATAGAGGTTAGATTTATTTTTTAGGTTGGAATGTTTAATTAGGTCAGTTTTCTCATTCTGTATGGTATCCTCTTTGTCTGATAAATTGGGAGGTTCAGCCATATGTTTTTCAAAGAATATTTTTATAGTGAGTTTTCTTAGGAATCTTTGACCATCTAAGAATAATCAAAATCAAAAGGTCTGCTGATGGTGCAAATTTCAATTCTTTGGACAGAAGGGTTAGGTCTTGATTAGTGAGTACCTCTCTGGATATATTAAATATACCTTCTGGATACTCTAATCCCCTCTTTGTGAGACTGTCATAGGCGGGGAGTTCTCTCTTTCCTCTATTTCTAAATTAAGTCTCTTTTTGATAGGGGATTTTAGACTGTGAAATCAGTTTTGTGTAAGGAATAATGGATGTATTTTGTCTCTTTTTTGGCCTTGAGCCTTGTCTAAAAAAACTTCTTGTTGTTCTTTGGATTTTTGAGTGACAGAGGTATATGATTGTTTAGGAAGTGATTTATAGTGCACTTTTGAATGGACATTCTTAATAGGGGGAGATCTGTGAAAATATAACGTGAGCATTTTTGGTAGGGGTTTTGGGTCTTTTCTAACAATTTTTTTCTGTCTCTAAAATTTCTTCTAGGGGTGTGGTCTGAATATGTGTTTGAAATTGTATAATTTCTGATTTTCTTTGATGTTTAATGTGGGAACAATCTTTTTGTCTTCCTAACTGATTGTTATTTTTGTCTCTTCTAAATTTGGATGATTTTGTGTCCGCTATTTTATCATCCACTGATTTTAGTCTTTCTTTCAATTTTTTGTATTTAGAGTCTATCAACATAGCGTCTTCATTTAATGCAATATCAGATTCTAATTTGTTAATTTCTCCTTCTATATTATTTAAATATCTTTTTCGAAATTCTATTAGGCTTAACATATATTTCCTCAAGCATTCTTCTCTGGCCTGTG